AAACCGACGTGTCCCTTCATGGCTTTCGTAGAAAAAACATTAACTTTCTGTTTATCCCGAAAACCCCTTTACTCTTCAGGGCATGCGGGTTTGGACGCTGTCTTGAAGAAATTCAATGTAGTGGATTCCTGATTGTGGGTCCTTCCTCTAATAAACCTTTTTGATCTTTTTGCAAAATAAAATGCTTTCTAGACTCCTCCAGAAATTAAACTGTCTCTCCGAATACGAATTTGAACAACAATACCACTAATTTTTAAGAAATTTACATATAAATCTGTCTCTTTGCTCTTGAATTTCTGTGCTGATGTCAGACATTTGCTGTTTTTATCAAGTAGATCTAATGGTAAATTTTGTTTTGAGGGTTTTAATCAATAGATTCATGTTCCAATATCTATTTAAAAATAAAATAAACGTGAATAACAAAAATTACAGATATTTTAAAATAATTGATAAGAATTTCGTATACGCTGTCATTTTCACTCATTTTTCAAAATATAGGGTGACCTTTGAGTACCAAGCTTTTTTTGACAGTGTAAACTGCTCCCGATATGATGTCTATCAAATTTGCTATGTGTCTTAAGGTCAATCATACATCATCAAATATTATATGTTGAAATTTGGCAAACAGTACATAAGTTGTTATATTTTTTGTTGGCAAGGAGGGTACCCATTTTTGATGCCCATTATATAATTTTTGATCATTGAAATTTACCTGCTCTTTTGTCTGTAAAACAATATATTCCAGTAAATATTTCTTTGGGATTTTTAACAAGTTTAACGACAGCTAAAATGAAGCTTTAATTTTCACTCTAGTTTACTGATTCTTTACCATTCATTTATAATGCAGTGTCTCAAAAAGACCTTGTTTCCCAGCTTCTCACGATAAAACTATGTGATGAAAAGTGGTCACATAAACTGTTATAATTTCATGAAGGATTCAATAATGAGAGAAAGTCAAGTTTAATGTCAAATGATATCTAAAATGTATGTTTTATAGTTCAGGACATTATTTATTGAACAGCCCTCGTATGGCTCCTGTGTAATTGTTCTTTATCTAAATGAAATATACGTTGAATTAGTTATAAAAGAGGTTCGGAACGACCGCGGTTGCTGAAACAAAAAACATGACTCGCATTAATTGATTCAAATAGTTGGATTTGAGGGTATCCGACATTACATAATTATATACATATATACATGTAATAAATCTGCGAGCACTGATTGCCAAAATCATAAGACTGATGTATCAAATCGAGATCTCGAATTATTAATCCGTGGCATCGGACTGTGTAAATTGAGATATCGAATTATAAATCGAGGCAACGAATTAGTAATCCGTGGGATCGGATTGTATAATTCGAATTCTCGAATTATAAACCGAGGGAACGAATTGATAATCCGTGGGAACGGATTGTATAATTCGAGATCTCAAATTAATTTTACTTTTTTGAAAAATCAACGTGTCCCTTCATTGCTTTCGTAGTTCATTGCATACTGATTAATCTGCCAGTAAACAGGCGGTGAAGGTAAATGTACGGTGGCTGGAATAGGACATCGTATGAGAATTTTTTTAATTAATTCGTGGCCACGAAATAAAATTCGTGGGAACCAAATAAAAATTCGTGGCCACAAAATAAAAATTCGTGGCCACGAAATAAAATTCGTGGGTACGAAATAAAAATTCGTGGCCACGAAATAAAAGATAAATAATTTAGTGTATTGACAGATCGTGTTCGTAATTCAGATGTGTCCATAGACACGCGCGCGGATCTGCAGACAAAAACTGAGAATACATGTTATTTACAATAGCCAAGATTATTTCCAGTGCATTTTTTAATGTATTTCACACATTTATTGCTAGATGTTTCAATAAATAGAATGTTCTTGTATTGCTTGTTTAGTCAAACACTCAATGTTTATTTATTTAACAATTAGTGGGAGAATAGGCCCCTATCATCGGGAACGTGACATCTTAAAAATTAGAGCAATATTCATATAATATTGTCATGATTGTTTTCACATAAAACTCAACTGTTTAATACAAATGAAAGTGTGTTTACTTAAATAAAGGTACAAGTAATTGTTAAGGCATTGCTTGACATACAAGAGAAGAAGCTAAATAATACATTTTTTAGCAGAAAATTTATTTCGTGGCCACGAATTTTTATTTCGTTCCCACAAATTTTATTTCGTGGTCACGAATTTTATTTCGTGGTCACGAATTTTATTTCGTTCCCACGAATTTTTATTTCGTTCCCACGAATTTTATTTCTTGGCCACGAATATTATTTCGTTCCCACAAATTTTTATTTCGTTCCCACGAATTTTATTTCGTGGCCACGAATATTATTTCGTTCCCACAAATTTTATTTCGTGGCCACGAATTTTATTTCGTTCCCACGAATTTTTATTTCGTGGCCACGAATAAATAAAAAAATTCTCATACCATGTCCTATACAAGCCACCGTATAAATGTACGTACATTTGTATTCTTAATATTTTTTAAATGATAATGTTGATACCATGGTATCTAAACGACAAAATAAGCATGTCCCATCTTCCCGACAAGAAACTCGATCAATAAATCTATACATTTCTTGAATAAATATATTATTTATGTATTAATTTCTTACTTATTGTTTACTACATTCTCTTGGAGGAAACACTGGCCATTAAGTAATAGTTAGATCATATTAAGTAAAATTTTAGTGGTTAAGAAGGGGCGGAGGGAGCGAAGCGAGGCATACAATTTGTATATTAGTAGGCCGAGGGCGGACCTTTTCTTATAGAGCCAGGCGGACCAAATATGGTATCGTATTTGGTCCGGTGTTGTATAGTAGTTTTTCCCCCATAGTAGCTTTTTCCCCCGGAAAACTGGCTAAATAGTAGTTTTCCCCCTAGGGAGAAAAGCTACTACATAGCAGATTTTCCCCCATAGTAGGGTTTCCCCCTAACGTTTTTGGTTTAGATTTTTGAAAATTGTTTATGGAAAGCTGATTAGGCTTTAAATCGATGTTTTGAACAGTGACTTAAGTACGTTACATATACTAGTATGTACTTGTATACATTAATGAACGAAAAGGTGTTTATTGTCAACTGTATAAACGTAAAGAATTTATCATGCAGGCAATTCATCAAACTACTTGGATACTATATTTAAAACTTAAATTATACTTAAAGAACCACACATTTTCGTTATTTCAAACGAAAGATCTGAGGAATGCTACCAATTTGTTTTTACATCTCCGTTATTTTTGTTGTGATTTCAGAGATGGTTTGTTTTAGTGTTTATAGATCCCTAATAGAGAGATAGTGGCCATTCAATAAGAATCATCAGTCTAAATATTTTTCTACTACAATGATTTAGAAAAAAATTGTACTCTATGTCCCAATTTCAGAAATTGGACATCAAAGACTGAAAATTTTGGCCCCCTATATTCTTAAAGTTATTTTTAGATTAATATTTTTATGTTTTAAAACATTATTTCCTTTCATAATGGATTAAAAGTTCTTAAGTTTGTTAATTAATACGATTTTGAGCTTCTGGGCCCTTCCTTTCAGACTCCAACCCTTTTTATTCAAATCGTACAAAAGGACCTTTCATTCTGTACGTTTGGTGAAAATGATTGACAAAATATTCTTTGGAAAAAAATATAAATGAAAACAAATCAAGATTTTGTGGAACTATTTGTTCTAATTTTTTGCGCCGTAGAGAGATCCGATTCTTTGCTCCCTTTAGAGTCCGACAGCCAAATCATGTATCATGAAAAATTCGCATTTGCTTGAGTAATTCTCGAGAACTATATTGCGCAAAAAAAGGGGGGGGTATCAGTTAAATAAATCATGATTTGAAATGACATCATAGAATATCGGTTGGATATTAAAATATCAATTATCAATTTATCTTTGGCAGAATATTCTGTGAAATCGATTCGATAGATTTGAATTCATGAAATCATGAGAACAAAATTTGATTAAAAACTTAAAATAGTGAGGAAACACTTGAATCATTCAAGTCTTCCGTTGAATTTTATAAATATAAAAGAAACAATCCTACGCAAGAGGAATCTTATTTGGAACGTTACATATTTTTTCGTAGAGGATATTCAATGTTGGTGGTTGGATATTGAATTTATTTCACGTCTAGTGGGACAAGATTTTTTTTATATTATTTCACAAGTGAAATATTATACAAAAGTTCTGTCCCACTCGTGAAAACAATTTCCTTCTCGTAATGGATTGATTTCATAACAAAAAGAAATATCAGTCTACTTAATTACGTGTCGGTGATAATCAATGTCTTTTCAAATACGCATGAATTGCAAATTATTACAAAGAATGGTCCTCCATAAACTTAACCGGAATGAAAAAAGGGGGGAAAATGTACTATATAGTAGGTTTTCCCTGGGGGTAATCTGGCTATAAAAGAGGGGAAATCCCACTATATAGCCATCTTTCCGTGGGGGAAAATCTACCATATAGCCATTTTCCCGGGGGGGGGGGAAACTACTATATAGCCATGTTTCCGGGGGAAAGGTGGCTAGGGGGAAAGGCTACTATACAACACCGACCGGACCTTTAAACGAGGCGGACCAAATACATGTATTATGCGACACCGGCCCTTTATCCAAATTTTGCATTTAACTGAAATTCAGCTTTTTATTTGATAATTTCGCTTTTTATTAAATGATTTTGTTTTTACATGTACATGTATATGTCATTATAATTCAGTTACCTAAAGTTTCTTTTTTTTTATATATATGTACTTATTTTGTTTTTTTTATCTTTTATTCAGTTTTGGTTGTATTATCGGGCTTCCGTACCAATCACTTACTTTGTCTAAAAATAAAGACACGTTATAAACAGGACCATGAGTTTAAATTTAGAGTCCGTGCTTTCCAATGAATGCAATTTTTTTGTTTAGGTTAACTCCGATTATGCATTGATATGAACTTGATTTGTGCCTTTCAATAACGAAGATCGTAGAGGAATTTAGAGGACCAAGAATGCAGCATGTAAAGCCGACCAATACACGCTGACATCTTTATTAAAACATCTATTTGGAAATCTCCTCGTCAGCCATTTTTATTCATTGTTGGTAAGCCATTTTCTGCTTATTAGGTCTTTCCACCTTTCTGTTTCTTCTTTTTTATTATTTTTCCGCCGTGTGATTTTTTGTTTCAAGATTTATCGAAAAGATTTATAGTCCGTAAGATTGTACTCCGTAAAAGATTATTGCAGTTCACCCTGCGTAAATGAACCTTGACCGCTTTCGAAGTTATTGCCCCTTTTGAAAGAAATGCTTGTCATCGCTACTCCTTCGAAACCGTAAACCATAGAAGTATGAAACCTTTACCAATGTCTTTGACTAATTAAGGAGATTCTTCAATCTATTGCGAAAGCATTCGGTGACCCCTTCAATGAGTTATTGCCCCTGAAACTTTTTGAATCTAACAAATAATTAATTTTTTTAAAACGACAAGTTGTAGAGACATGGGACTATTTGCATAAGATTCATTGACCTTTGACCTTAAAATTCATGTAAAGGTCAAAGGTCAAGGTCATTCCAGAAATGAGAAATTTAGCTCTTTTTATATCTCTTTTGTCTTTCAACATATACTTAATGTCTATGCATCATTAGTATGTACTCTTAAAACTGTTTCAAAGATTTCCTTCTTGTCCCCTAACATTAACCCCTTTAAAAGTTATTTTCCCTTATGCGAGAAACCTTGTTATCGCTACTCCTCCGAAACCATAGACGGTAGAGACACCAAACCTTCACTAAGGTCCTCAGGGTCTTTAGGCCTAACTTCAGTATAAAAGTGCAAAAGCATCTGATGACCCCTTATATTAGTTATTGCCCTTCTTTGTACTTACTTTTAAACCTTATAACTTGAAAACTTTAAGTAATAGAAGCATGGGTTCATATGCACTGTGACCCTTGACCTTTGACCTTGAATATTTTTTCAAGGTCAAAGGTCATTCTTTTTTTTATTTTCATTTTTTTATGGTTTAAGAGAGTTTTCGTTTCTTTTTCATGGAATTTAATTTTTAGGAGTCAGATATGAAACAAATTTGAAATTCAAAGAAGGTGGAAAGACCTCTTATTGTTCTGTGAACAATAAGTCTCCTAGTTTGGATAGACGTTTTTTTCTACCAAACAATTACGTTAAATGGTCTGAACTAATAATACTATTTATATTGTTTATGATTTACTGTAAACATCGGAAATCATAATTAATTTTATCATATATTTGCTTTATGAGGGTAGCAATTTTCCCGGCTTGGGGTAAAAAGCTGAGTGGAGTGTAGTAGAGTCTGTGTTAATAATAACAGTACAGAAAGTTTGAGAATAAAATAATTGATTTTGCATGCAATTTCTACCCTGCACTGACATTTTTGGATTGTTTGTATACCAAGAATGAAACAAGAAACAAAAGAAATATATGTAGTCAAAAACTTTCATTAGGCCATAATAGAAATATTCCTAGATTCTCATCCCCACCCGCCTCGATTTTAAACCCCCGCCTCGTTTTTTTTTTATTTCTGTTTTTCTTCGTCTTAATTCTGATCACGATCGGTATTCATCTATCATTCTACTTTCGTTTTAAATCCCGCGAATGTTAGCATGACTTTTACAGCTGAAAAGATGGTAAATTTTGCTGTAATACACGCGTATATATTTGACTCAAGAGTCCTAAGTGGAAAAGATTGGTGATGATGTGAAGTAAGAGATAATGGAACCTTTACTATGACTTTTTATTCTGGTATTTAGAGAAAATTACACCGATTGACTAGGTCAATAAAAAATCTGAAAAATTGAAAAAATATAGAATAAAAGCCGCCCGCCCGCCCCGATTTTTATAAAAAAATCGGATGAGAATCAAGCAATTTATTTATTATGACCCAAACAGAGAATCACCTAGAAATGCTTTACTAAGTAATATTTTAACAACATTTAAACTAAGCTAGACTGTTTGACCCTATACGCCTATTGCAAACAAACAAAACTAGCATGGGGTATTGACACTTTAATATTAAACAGAGAAAAGGCACTGTACTGCACTGCACAACTGATGAAATAAGAAGCAAATGTAGCAGCTGTGTAGGGCGGGGTCATTTTATAATTCTTCTTTACATGAATTATTACAAAAGAAAAATATGATATTTTCTAAGCAAGAGAAGATACATGTTTCAAATGACTTTAGAGCATATAAGTGTAGGAATGGATCAATGTTTCCTTGGAGTCAAAAACGGATAATTCATATCAAAAAACAAGTAATCAATAGCGCTAATCATTTTAGAAAAAAACATCCTTCTCTTAGAGTGTTTCCTCTAAACTATTTTATACTGAACACAACATGCACACTATATACCCCCTTTTAATTTAAGTTATCATTATTAAAGCTTCTGATTTCTCACTGGTCTAATTTAATGGTTTAATTTACAAATTGTACATTTGTATTTATAATGTTAAATTATTTAAACAAAAGAATTCTCTCATTTGTAGCAAAGTCACATTGAACATATGACAATATTTTATAATGATACTGTATTCTAATTTGAATCATGCACATATTCCGATTAAAAAAAATAAATGTGAAAGAAAATCATGATGAGTATAAACATATTTTATCTATATATTTGCAGTTTATTGGGAAAACCATAAGATATTCCAAACATGGCATATGCTCATCTAACGTCGAATGAACAAAATTTTATTTATTATGGTTTGGCAACAGTAGAAGAAATTCCAAGAGTTTTGAGAATTCTTTTGGAAAGTCAAATTCCACCACGTAAATTATCCTCAGCGGTGCAAAAATGTTCCACAATAAACCTTCGTCAAGAGCAGCTCAATATAGTATGTCCAAAATCAGGAAAGAATCCAAACTATGACGTGTTTGATGTTACCTTACTTTACACCCTCCTTCGAAATTTATGTCCAGTATTAAGACCATCCCAAAAGTGGGGAGAAACACCTTCTTCCACGAATTTAACTGTAGGAGATGACATTGAAAGACTAAGAATCATTCGAAATGGCTCAATTGCGCATTCAAGTCAGTCTTCTATACCAGATTTAGAATTCAAAAATCTATGGACAGAACTAGAAAACATTTGCAAAAGAATGGAAATCCATACGAAAAACATCCCTTGCCATACAATTTATAAAAGTGGATTATCAAATGTTTTAAAAAAAGATCTGGGTTCTAAATCATTGGAAGACTATCAGTCATTGATAGCATCGAATTGTCACAATGTTGCTGAAAAAATTGAGGAGCTTTCCAATCAAATGCAAACTCTCGTTTCTCTACATAAAAAAGAGGGTAATTATTTTATCTAATAAACATTAGAGGTATTAAAAATGCACATGTTTTCATCATTTACCGTCTGTTGAGGCAGATTTATTATGTTAAAGTAAAAATAATCATTTTTAAAAGAAATAAAAATATTTTTGTTAGGTGGATTGTTAAATTCCTACTTTAAGAATAAAATAATTTCCATCTTAATGAAATTGATTTACAATAACCTCGAATTAAATGACAATTTAAATTAATAACATATTATTTCTTGTGTAAAGTATTCAAAAATCCTAAAATAAATGGACCCAATACCATCCAATGTGGAAGTAAAGCAGAAATATACCTTGAATTCGATTCTGGACCTTCGGAGTGCTCAGTAGACCTCAAATGTGTTCGCTGGATGAAAAGGAAAAAACAGGAATGTAAAGAAATCGATATAACAGATGAAGCTTACAGAGGTAGTTCAAGTCATAAACTAGTCATTTGTGAAGTTTCTCCTGATGACGAAGGTGAATATCAAGCTATCGTCGGTACTGACTTGAGGAGTGTTTGTATTCATACCAACAAAATCATTCTGGAAGTTACAGGAAGTAAGATTTTTACAAGTAGGATAAGCTTATTTCTCATGTAAATTCCATAGCAATTGTATATTAATTATTTTAAAAGTATTTAACATATACACACAATTATTCGAGCAAAAAACCATGTTGCAAAAAAATATGTTTTATCTGCAAATGTTTTGAAACAAAAACTTTTCTTTTTCATACTGCTGTTATGTTTTTTTTTATTCACAAGGCAAACCCAGTGTTCAAATATCATGCCCTCGATCGACACATTTTGGAAATTCTGCGGAAATATTTGCACGTATTCAATCTGATCTCCCAGTACTCCATTTGAAATGGCAAACTGTCCTTGGAGAAAAAGTTAGTGACATCAATGTAGACCTCCCGAAGTTTCAAGGCAGTGTACTGAAATTCCCTGAGTCAAAGCTTGTCATCAACAATGCCGCATTTGAAGACGGGCACCAATATCAGTTCTTTGTTTCAAACGCTATGGGAGAAAGCATAAGTCAACCTTTGCTTTTGCACATCAGTGGTTGTATGTTTATCTTTGAATTCTACTTTATGTTTTTATGATTTCGATTTTATTGACAAATTATATGCTTTTTAGCTGACCTGAGCCTAAGGCTCAAGTGAGTTTTTCAAACGAAAACTTTTTTTACGTCGTCTGTCCGTCTGTCTGTATATTTTTTTCACATTTTTGACTTCTTCTCAAGAGCCACTGGTCCAATTTTAACCAGATCAAAGCATCCGTAGATGAAACGTAAAAACAAAGTTCCCTCAAAAGAGGAGAAAATCAAGAAAACAAAAAGGGGGTTATTAAAAATGTTATCAAGAACAACAGGGCAAGAAAGGCTGAAACGTTTGTGGAAGCATTCTGAGGTAATGCAGATTTTAAATTGTTCAAACCACGACCTCCATGGGAAGAGTTAGGTTGTAATAGGAATCCAAATTTTACATTTATTTGAAATGTATAGGAAAATTCTTGAAAGAAATTGCCCCAAGAACCACTGTACCAGAAGAGCTAAAACTCAAGTGAAAGCATCCTGGGGTAGCGGAGATCATTAACTGTTCAAACCTTGACCCTAAAGAAAAGAGTGGCGCTGCAATAGGATATCCAAGTTTTACATGGAAATGTATAGGAAGAATCTTGAAAATCTTTTTCTCAAGGAATACTGGACTAGAAAATCATGACCCCCTGGGGCAGGGCGGAGAAAAAAAAAGAAATCCAAGATTTACACAAAAATGTAAACGTACAATCTTCTTCTTAAGAACCACCAGGCCAGAAAAGCTGAAACTAATGTGGAAGCATCCAAAGGTAATGCTAATTATAACTTGTCGAATTTGGGATCCGGTCAAGGAAATCATGGCCATATTAACTCAGATGAGCGATGTTGGCCATGGGTCTCTTGTATTATTTAAATCAAGAAAACTGAAATTGTAAACCCCAAAACTTGATATCTTTCTAATTATTATTTTATTTAACTCGATATCTTCTTAATTATTATTTTATTTAACTTGATATCTTCCTATTATTTTATTTAACAGCTCCTCCTTTAATATCAATTGGTTACAAAGCAAATTTACAGAAGAGGTCAATAAAGCTGCTTTGTGAAATCTCCTTGAGCGAAGATTCTCCTCCGTTGACCGACGTTCACTGGATAAAAAATACAAAGCGAATTACGCTAGACGGCAACAAATACATCAGTGGTAGTATGGCAGACCCATCCTTACTGATACTGAATGTGGACGACTCTGATGCTGGAAACTACCAGTGTGTCGCAACAAATATAGTTGGTACATCCGAGACTCAAGTTATCAGTCTAGGTAATAGATTTCCGCATAAAGACCCTTTCACAAATGGCGCACGAGCACTTTACAACACTTTGCAATCGGATAATTTAACCTTCGCACGAGCTCTCGCATACGTTGAACGGTGTCTCGCATTCATTGTTTGTGTTTAAGTGGTCGCATCAAGTCTCTTCAAAATAGTCAACATGCACACTATTCAGACGCGACCAAATGCGATCCAAATTATCGCAATTCATCGCTCAAAAATTAGTACGAACGTCTTACAACGTGTTATGTACTCGTAAGAGTGATGTACGAGGGCTGTTCGGAAATTATTGAGACAATTACATTTACTCTATAAAGGACGGAGATAATTTCATGAAAATTCATCAACATCTTATAAAGAACTTCTAAAGCACTTAAGCAAATTTTCTAATTCCTACGATAATTATATAAGTTTCTGAGAAGAAATAAATTTGCATATGTCTATCGACCCGGAGCAGCCTCGCTACGTCATTTAACGTTACGTTAGCCGTAGATTGTTTTGTATAATTATGAATCGATAGGGAAGCATTTAATACTCTTCCTTCTTTGTTATTACATATATAACACTGCTCCAGGTACCCCTGCTATTAGCACATTTATATACCATTGTAGAGAAAATATTTAATATTCGTAAAATATTTCTTGTTCTTATTAATTTTAAGTGTATGTCAAACGTATATGCCAATTTTTACTGAAAGACGTTCACAAGAAAGCAAAATATACACAATGTCTCAATAATTTTTGAACAACCCTCGTCGATTTTTAAAGATCGTAAGATGAATCGCAGCTGTCTTTGCGTGTGTTTTGCGACCATGAGACTGTTGCTCAACATGTCTCATGTAATCTTGCAAGGTTTTACTACCATTGCTTGATTTATCACCTTCAATTGCCATTCTTTGCAACAGGTAAATATACCGTGTATAATTATAAGCATCTTAACTCTGTCAACTGAAGAGCGTCGGAAACGGGTAGTATATATACCCGGCCCTCTGACTCGCACGAACATTCGTACTATGGAATGCATGGGCGCACGAGCACCGCCCGTCCAATCGTATTGTCGCACGTTCAATCGTCTGATTTTCTGATCAGTCTTGCAATCCTATCGCATTATCTTACAACAATCGCTTTCATTCTACAACAGTCGCATATAGACGCAAGATTTAATGCACAACAGTCCCTTTAAATCGTGAGAATTTCCTACGAACACTTTTTTCATATGCGATTATTTTAATTGGCAACAGTGTTTACGATCCTAAACAAAATTATTCGGTCGCGCAAATATTTTGTCGCTTCTGCTCGTGCGCCAATTTTGAAAGGGCCTTAAGATCTAAATTCTATATTTTAATTCGAATCATATACATTTCTAATCTCCCTGCATCCCGTCCTCTTTTAAGATCACCTAGCTGAGCAGAAAGCTTGAGTGATTTTTCGGATCACATTTTGTACTGCGTTGGACTATCCGTTTGTCTGCTTTAAACTTTTCACATTTTCGATTTCTTCTCCAGAACAACTGGGTCAATTTCACATTTGAAGTGAGCATTACTTGATGAATGGGATTCAGTTTTGCCCATGTGAAGGTCCAACCCTTTTTTCAAGGGGAGGTAATTAAGAAATAATGAAACTTTGGTGTCATGTTTTATAATCTTCCTCTTTGAAACAATGGGTAAGGCAAGATGAAAATAATGTGGAAGCATCCTCAGGTAGTTTAAATTCAAGTTTGTTCAAAATATGACCCCCGGTTGTATGGCGGAGCCACAATGGACGATCAAAGTTTTGCAAATAATATACAAGAAACATATTTTAAAATCTGAAGAAGAACCTAAAACCCATATTGGTCATTTTGATATGTACGCATCCTCAGTTAGTATAGATTTAAGTTTGCTTAAATCATGACCCCAGGAGGGGATGTAGGATTGGAAGACAATGGACCATTGAATTCAAAAAAATCTTTGATAAAAATTAACAGACCCTTGATTTAAAAGGAAACATCCTCAGGCTGTGTAGAAATAAGTTTTTCTCAAATCATGAAACCTGGGAGTACTGTTGTGCAACATTGAACGATCAAAGTTTAATATAAATGTTTATTGGATAAAACTGCCTCATGCGTCCTCCGGGGCACGGAGAGGATAAGTAAGTGAGTAATACTGGATAAAAAACTTTCAAAATCTTCTGAATATCAGCAAATGTATGATTGGTAAAATCTATATCAAAGCGTCCTCAGGTCATTTTAATTTTAATAAAGTTTGTTCAAATCATAACCCATGGGAGTAGGGGGATACAATGTAAGATCAAAGCTTAAACAATCTATTGATGTTGATCAACAAATCTATGATTAGCCATGTTTTAAGGAAGCATCCTCAGGTTGTTAAGATTCAAATTTGTTCAAATCAGGATCCCTGGTGGTAGGACACGGCCACAATGGAAAATCAAAGTTTTACCCGTACAAAGGAATACATAGGGAAAAAACATTAAATATCTTCTTCTGAGCGCCGTAGGGATTCGGGTTAGAATAGGTCCTCATTACCTCCTTGTTTGTCGTAAAAGACGACATCCTTCGGATGAGACCGTATAAACCGAGGCCCCGTGTCAAAGCAGGTGTCGCACGATAAAGATCCCTCCCTGCTCAATGGCTCTGAGTGCCGAGCATAGGCCTAAATTTGCAGCTCTTCACCGGCAATGGTGACGTCTCCATATCAGTGAAATATTCTAGAGAGAGACGTTAAACAGTATACAATCAATGAATCAATCTTCTTCTGAGGAAGGATATGGGAATAACGAACAGTATTCAATCTCAACGTCCATTTAACAAATATACAAAATAAGAGCAGAGGAAACACGGACCTCCGAAACATCAGAAGTGGGATCAGGTGCCATGGAGGAGTGAGCATCCCCTGCCGACCGGTCACACCCGCCATGTGCTCGTTGTCATGATCAGGAAATAAAAATTAAACAAATATGCAAAATAAGAGCAGAGCAAACACGGACCTCGAATAATTACATCAATAAAGCCATGATTTATCATATATTAAAGGAAGAATCCTCAGGTAGTGTATATACAAATTTGTTGAAATCATGACACCCGCGAGCATGGCCAAAATGAAAGTTTAAACTTATAGGGAAAAAGTCACAGTAAGTTAACGAAATACGTAAGCATTTTTAAATGGACATTCAGGGCAACTGATGCATTTGAGGTTTTTGTTTTTGTTTTTTGTACTATGGCGCAATTAATATGACCTCCTTGCAATATAATTAGATAAAATAGTTCTAACTTAAAGCTTGAATTGGCATTTTTTATTCAAGGACGATGTATTTGAAACATTTTTAGAATACGATGATAGAATCCAGGACAGTTAATAATTAAATAAGTAATTTAAGACCAGAATAGAACATTTCACAGCACAATTACTCTATATGCAGACTGTATGTAAAAATTGATATGCAAATTTAACAATTCTGAATACTTTGAAAGATATAAAATTGATCTTCTTCTTCTAACCTTCCGCCACAAAATATAGTTATTCACTAAATGTTTTCTGTATGGAATGAAACATATGGAGGTAACGAACAGTATTCAAGATCAAAAGTCCATAAAACAATACAAAACAGTAGAGCAAACTTAGAACCCCAAGACTTCAGAGGAGACATGGAGGAGTTAGCATCCCCTGCCGACCGGTCACACCCGTCGTGTGCTCCTTGTCATGATCAGATAAAAACGGAAAAAAGCCGTAATCGGTTCAGTGTATAAATAATGGACTAACAACTATATGAAATCAGGGGTTATTAATGGAAAATCCTTAAAAGCATTATAGAATCCAACTTAATTGTAAGAACTTAAACATTATGTAGATATTATACAATTATGGAATGGGTACGAGGGAAATAGCAAATTTATAGTTCTCTAGGAAGAAAACTATTACCCGAGGCGGTGAATTTGCTATTTAATTTTATATAGAGTAATTATTGTAGAGGTATGATAATAGAAAATGTCATACAAATAGAAAATAATGTTTGATTAAATGAATAAACTGCCATAATTCTTATTTTATATCATTTTCTTAAAACATATGTGCAGCTCTGCATTGCTGGAAAATTAATAAGGAATCTATTTTTTTCATTTTGCTTCTTGATCCTAATATATTCTTAAAGGTTTCTTCATTGCGCCGAAAAGCATGCCACCTTATTTGACTATTTTTACCTAAAATGAGCTTATCTGATCAGTTGCCCGTCCGTTACTCCATCCTTATGTTAACTTTTCATTTTTTTTTCAATTTCTCAAAAAAAAAACCACAAAAAAAACACAAAAAAACTAGTACAACACATCTTTTGGTGAAGTTTCAAGTATTAAAATAAAGGACAATTCCCCTTGCAAGGGAAGATCATCAAGTAAAGACAAAAATAAGGTGGGTTATCAGTCATTAAAACTCTTCTTAAGAACCTGTTGGCCAGAAAAACCGAAAGTTATGTGTAAGCAGTGAGTCGTGTATATTCTAAATTGTTCAATTCATGTTCGCCGAGATACATTGTAGGACGGTTCCACAACAAGGAATCATAACTTTATGTTAGAATCTATAGGAAAAATCTCCTTCTCAAGAACAACTGAGCCCGGAAAGCTGAAATTTATGTGGAAATACCCTTGGGTAGTGTATTTTTTAAATTTTAAAACCATAACCCCTAAAGGTAGGATAGAGCCACAATACAAAATCCAAGTTTTTCCTTCAATTATATAAAAAAATTTTTAAAAATCTTCTCCCTTAGAAGTTAAAATATTTCTCATTAATACACAAAAAGATTTCCACTCTTCTTTAGTATAAGAATAAAGTTAAAATTTGTGAAAGTACAAGAATGTGCATCAAACCCATAGCATTAAATGAAATAAGACTTTCAATTAATTTTTGTGTGAAACGCTATTGAAATATACTAGCGGAAAAAAGAAACTGTGCATTATAATATTTAGTAAAAAAATTATATATTTATTGTTTATATTAATACAATGTAAACAACCGATAAAGGTGATGGTTCTTAACAATATCGGATAATACCCGACTCAGTTGCACGGACTTTTCATGGTTAGTGAGCACGTTTTGTTTATTGACGTGTTCGTATGCAGGGGTTTTACTGGCCAAAATTGTTTTGAGAAAAAACTGTATAACGTTTATTTAGACTCTATTCGTTTAGGAAAGCACTTTAGTTTTGACCAAATTTACTATTCTGTCATGCCACGACTCAGCGAAAACCAACGTAATATTGCTGTTGGAATGCTTCAAGCAGGAATGGCACAAAATATTGTAGCAGGACACTTTGGAGTTCATCGGAACACCATCCAGTCATTATGGAGACGTTTTCATCAATCTGGTAATACTCGGGATCGACCACGTTCTGGGCGTCCTCGCGTGACGTCGCGTCGACAGGACAACCACATTAGACTCGTGCACCTGAGAAATTGTTTCCAGACTGCAAGTTTGACTGCTCGAAGCATTCCTGGACTTCGACCAATCAGTCCAAGAACTGTGCGAAATCGTCTGCGAGAGCGCAACATCCGACCAAGACGTCCAGCTGTGCGCCCAGTACTGCTACAACGTCATCGTACCGCTAGGCTAGCGTGGTGCAGACGACATCTACGATTCAGAATACAAGATTGGGCCAATATTCTGTTTACTGATGAATCCAGATTTCATTTGGATAGCAGTGACGGCCGTTGTAGAGTGTATCGTCGCACTGGGGAGCGGTACCAGGACGCTTGTGTTGTGCAACGGCGACAATTCGGTGGAGGTAGCGTAATGGTGTGGGGTGGAATCACAGCACGTGGAAGAACCCATCTACAAATTGTCAATGGAAATCTCACCGGCGTACGTAATTTAGATGAAATTATTCAGCGACATGTGATACCCTTCATACAGAGACAACAAAATCACATCACTCTTCAGCAAGACAACGCAAGGCAACATGTTGCCCGTGTAGTCAGGGATGTTTTTGTTCAACAGAATGTCGATGTCTTGCCTTGGCCAGCTGTTTCTCCCGATTTATCGCCTATCGAGCACGTTTGGGATGAAATGGAACGACGTCTACGCCGTTTGCCAAATCAGCCAATGACGTTGGCTGATTTAGGTCAGGCCTTAACCAACATCTGGAACAACATCCCTCAAGCATTTCTGAACACTTCAGTTGCATCAATGAGGCGCCGGTGTCAAGCATGTGTGAATGCAAATGGTGGTCACACGCGTTATTAACTTTGTTAATTCAAGTTTGAATACCAGTGTCTTTCAAGTGTGCTCAAATTGACGTTAGTTGACGTTAACTTTTATGGATTAGGTAATGTTGTAACGAATACATTTGTTATAAGAATTACAAAAATAAAATTTGTTCATTGTTATTTTTTGTATTTCTTTTCATAATAAATATTATGCACAGTTTCTTTTTTCCGTTAGTATATATAATTCGTGATATTATACAGAAAATATTAACTTCAAATGTGTGACCATATAGCTTTAAAAGGACAGAGTAAAGTTTGGTGCGAATATGATGTAGACATAACTCTTGATTTACATAAGGTAGTAATGAATCAAAAGAGACGTTGTATATTGAAGGTTTATTGTACGACCGATGCACATGAAAACGTTTACGTCTCTGTGTATGGTTTATGAGTCCCATCACATTTACATTATTTCACTATGGGCTGGAAATATTTCCAATACTATCGACAATGTCATTACATCAATAGGGAAAGAATGCCCCTATTTTTGTAATCCGAAATTCTTCTCGATGTTTACGGAAAGTGTACTCAGCAATGGTGTATCAGTGTGGTGATAAATCTTTCCGAGAATTCTAACATTCATAGACAAAATAGAATACTCCGGTATATTAAAATATATAAAAGCTGTTGACCACCATGATTTATTTGAAATCGATTTAGCACAATGGCTCATTCTGTAAAATCAAATTCTCGATAAATATATTTTTATTCGGGGGTATATAAGATGTGTATAAGAAATGTCTATGAAAATCTTCTCAAGAACCATATGGTCAGAAAAAGTGCAACCATTTTGGGGTAGTGTAGAATATGAATAGTTAGGATAAAAATCACAACCCCAGGGGCCACAATATGGAATACGAATTTTACATTGTAATATATAGGTAAACTTTATTTCTTCTTCTCAAATACAACATGTTCAGGGAAGCTGAAACTTAAGTGAAAGCATCCTGAAGTAGTGTGCAGTATTATGATCCCTGGGAGAGGGGCGCGACAACAACAAGGAATCCGAGTTTTACATTGAAATACAGTGGGCCCTCAGATATCCGGATGGTTGTTTATCCGGACGACTTTTCGGCGTGACGAAATTTTCAAATGTTATGTTGTCTTGTTTAACTGGTGCTTCAGGTATTCGGACGCTTCACATATCCGGATAAATAATTAGGAACAAAAGCGTCCGGATAAATGAGGCTTCATTGTATATAAGAAAAATCTTTGAGAAGATTCTCAAGAACCACTGGGCCAGAAAAGCTAAAACTTGTATGCAAGCGTTCTAGCTAAGTGAAGATTCTGAATTGGTAAAAGTTTTGCAATGTTGGGGGTTGGGGATCTGTTAAAGAACTGTATGGTCATGGGTATTCAGGTGATCTATGTGACCCGTTGTCCTCTTCTTTTGATTATCGTAATCGAACACTTTTGATTCGTCGAAGACATTTTAAGCAATTTTGCCAGGAAAGTAAATTTACACAATTGATTGAGAATCAATAATTGCATAAAAAATGTTGAAACAATTTCATATATTAAAGAACATGTATGAAAAGTGCTATAAGATTTAACGAATTTTTTTCATATGAATCAATTTCTTTCAGAGCCTCCTGAAATACGCTATGTGAGCACATCCCAAAACAAAGAGAAAGACGTCTATTCAGTTGCAATAAGATCCATTCTGCCTGTTACAGTCGTTCAATGGTTTGAGGAACAGACAGAGGGCGAAAACACGCAATACCATCACGTAAATATTGACGATGACGTGTACATCGGAAGTTCCAGTTCATCTTCATTCCCAAAGTTAGTTATAAATAAAATTCACAAAGGCAAGACTTCTAGGGAGATATCCTACAAAATTATAGCGGAGAATTTTATAGGGCGGACGGAGTATGTAATGAAAGGTAAGATGCAATAAAACAAATCTCCATTACTATGATTTTAAAAAAAACTTCGGTTTTCCAGCCTTATAATTATTATTTTTGAATTTCCAGAAGATAAGGACAGAAAGAATGAACAGTCTTCTTTAGAGACTAATAGTGGAGGTAAATTATTATTATTATTTTCTTTCCTTGATGAGTGCTTTAAAATAGTTTATTTGTATACATAAATAATCATGAAATGCATACACTATTAAAAGCACGCTTTTATGTAATTTTAGAGGGAAAAAGTAATATCTCTACATGTATGAATGTTATATTCGATTTTTATTTTTTTCAACCAGAGAGATTGCATAAATTGTACCAGAATGGCCCTACTCAAGTTCGATTTCTTCTCTTAAGTGACAGTCTTCGAAAATCATTGAAAGAAGAAGATCTTGATTTATTAAAATACTACTTAATTTGCCTGGGTACGATTTACCTAGATTTACCGACACTATTGTTTTGATTGTCAAATGAATAGCAATATTATCTTTTTTTTCAAAATCTGAACTGAAATATTATCATAAAGCTAGGCCTTTTTTGTTTACCATAAGTTGCCTAATGATATCCGATTGATACTTGAATACATCTTTATCATTTTGTATTTGATTTGATCAAAATAGAAACTATTACATATTATATTTTGTTGTATATTTTAGATTTGCCTGGTTACAGCAAAGTTGACAAAGCAAAGATTGATAATTTGGATACCATGCTGAAATTCTTTAAATATCTTTTGGCTGAAGGCTATTTTACCAGCACGGATGTCGTTATAATGCAGTTACTTTTACGATGCATTGAACGCTATGACTTGGAGGAGAAATGTGTTTCTTATGCAAAATCAAAATTACAAGCATTATGTTATTTTGCTGAAAGTGAGAAGCCAGGTATTTTTTTGTTTTGAAGTGTATATTTATTGTGCCAAAATATATTTGCCTATACTAGACAATTTTAGATATGAAAATCTTTATCTTGCAGTGAATGGATATACACATGTTCATTTTCACATTTCTGAAAATATTATAAACTACCCAGCTGAATATGCAGAAAAGATCAGGCAGATGATTGCAGAACTTGTTGGATGTCCCGAGGACTGTAATCAATGTTTACGCATTAATGGCATGCGCCCCTCTTCCAGTTTTACTCTTATCATCACAATGAGCGATGAATATGCAGAGAAACTGAAATCTTTGACTGCTGAACAGCTAGCTGCATTAGGAAGATATTCTGTGGACAGAATAACTTTTGCTGATTACACGATTTATATAGCAACAAATGAACAATGTAAGTAGAAAAATCATAGAATAGAATCTGCGAGTAAAGTACAGTTGAGAAATGTTCTAAATGCTTTTAATAATACAGGCCCCAAGACCATAAACTGAGAACAGTCAAAAGTCATTTGTTTTATTTGAAGTGTTTTGCACAATTGCAAAGATTTAAGCTAATGCTTCGGAATGAAACTGAAGATATTAAAATTCTATATCATGACTTAAGTCTTTTCTAAGTTTAAGATCTTGGAACCAGCCTGTCTTCAACTTGTTCATCATCTTTTGAGAATCCAATTCGCAGTGTAGTTAAGGTGTATCATTGAAATATCATCGGTGGGGCCTTTGTCCATCTGGAGTCTAGGGTTAAAACCCTGTCAATCTCATATTGGATACTCTGCTTCCATCACAACCCGGGATTTCTGCCATTTAGCATAAAAGAGCATATAGCATTCACTGAAATTGAGGAGATACCGGGATTCTTGGTATTTCCGAGCGGATATGTCAAAGGGAACAACTCCTGCAATCCATGATTTTTATTTATGCAAAATTACTTTTGGCCATTAAAATTCCCTTTCAAATATAGGAGGGCCTTTCCTGACCCATCTTGATCTGCGCGGCTGATTATTACAACTTACAACATAAATATTTTCACATCTTATTGAAATAAGCCAATCAAAAATATAGTAATTTTACAAAAATCGCGCGTTTAGAAACTTATCGCACCTGTATAAAATGCAACCAAGACAGTCACTTTTCAGCTTTCCACTGAAGATGTGTCTGCCCCCGCTGCCTGTTTTATGCCTTAATCCGTGCATCAGATACCCAATTTATTATTCCTTTAAAATTTGCAATAACTACTTATAATTTTATTTTGAAATTTTAATTACAATAGTCCTTTCTTCCAACATTTATAGATTTCCGAATGCAATTTTTAAACTTTTGTATAATATTTAAATGTACATGTAATATGTTGTAGCTAATTTTTACCAGCACCTAAACTCTGGTCAATTTAACCCTATTGGTTATCTTCCGATAAAAAAAATAAAAAAATAAACATCGACATTTTAATGAATAAATTTCTTAGAACCATTTAGGTTATAAGGTCAACCCTAGTAACCAACACTTACATTTATTCTTATCTTCAGAACTCGCATCTGTTATCTCTCTCCCCGCAAAATAGTGCCAATACATACATTGAATACATATATATATATATATATATATATATATATATATATATATATATATATATATATATATATATATATATATATATATATATATATATTAGACTGGACAGAATTTAGACCAGTCATAAATTTCTCTCTTGCAAAGGGCAAAACAAAGTTTAAAAATTATAAAAAATTTTCAACGCGCATTGGAGTTTCTGAAAAATGCTGGGATCCTATTTAGATTCTGTAATATCATTGTTAAAATCATGTTTGTATGACCGAATGTTTTTTTTTTTTGCTGGCCAACGGCTTAAAATATTGATCTTATTATTATAATCAAGATTTCATTTCAAGATTTTATTAGGATTGCAGCACTTTTAGATACCTGCATATTTTGTTGTTTTGTAAAAGCTAACTATGATCCATTGATATGAGTGTATGTCCTTGCACTAGATCGATTTATTAAGGTCCTCACAATACCCTCCGATGTACTTGCATACAGCATACAGCATTATCAATCAAACAGTAAATAAACGAAAAAATATTAATAAAATCGTGAAGAAGACATTGAATCCAAGTTAATGGCCTATAAAATATCTGGAAATAATATTTCATTTAATTATAAAATACATTTTTCGTGGAGAAAATATTACATGATTTGTCTCTCATTGCATACAAACTGCGTCAAGTTTTACAAAAGGACGTCACATTGACAATTGCAGTGACTTGTTTATAACTTATATGGAATTCAAATAACGACAAACAGCATTCGGTAGTAAGTTTTTATATAGTTTGATGGTTTCCTACAGGTTAAAATAGCAAATCACCTCATTTTGTGGTATTTTAAGAATTGTTGGTTTGTATGTCATAGTTCAGTTTTATCACACAAAAAAGGCTCCGCCCCCTTTTTGTAGCCTTACTTGTGCTGCGTTGTCAAATACCAACTTAATTTCTTTTTGCATTCTATACTTTTATGACATCTTTTTATATAGATAGACAAAATTTATAAAATTGTGAATTAATATGTATTTAGGTATATAACTTCATAGCAAGAAATTGAATCAAGCAATATTTCTGAGATATTTTTAGTGCATTTATTATTACGATTATCTGACCAATTTAGATTATCGTCAGAAGATGTTACAGAAATGGGAAATGGATGATAATTCCTACTATGAGACTGAGATATACAAAGAAGTTTTGGACCAGTTTCAGAGAAGAAACGTCATTGTCTTATTTGGAGTTCCTGGGTTAGGAAAAACTTCATTGATTCGTCATCTTGCTCTGCAGATGAAAGAAACATATGAAATAGTTCCAATTTCTCAGTTATCAGCAATTATCAATTTTGATTGTGATGTGAAATCTTATATATTTTTACTCAATGTTTCAATGGAAAACAGACTTTCTTCCGTTTTGTTCTCTGAGAATGTTTTTGCTTTTCTGGAAGGCACTAAATCAAGGATTTTAATTACATGTTCCGACAATGTAAATATGAGTACAGCTATTTTGCAATCTTTAGCAAAGAATCAGAGCTTCCACAATTTTCATTTGAACGATAAAGAAAAGCATGACATTCTACGAAGCTTTACCAAAAAAGCAAACATTCCAAAAATAGCATATGATGACATTTCTGATTTCAGTCATCCTTCTTTTCTATATTTATGTAGATTATTCTGTGCTAATCCTAAACTTAGAGTTTTTGAACAATCGTATTTCAAAAAACCTTGGTCATGCTTACGTCAAGAGCTCGACAGACTTCTTGAAAAACAAAATCTATACTATGTGTCCATGGTATTGTGTGTACTCCATGAAAACAAAATATCAGAGAGTATTCTTGAAAACAGCGGTATTTTAGATGACGTTTTTGATTCTTGCAGACTCAATAGATCTTACAAAATAGATGAAATTTTAGATTCCCTAGCAAGTTTACTTGGTTCTTATGTTACAAAGAAGGATTCTTACTTTGCTCTCTCTCATTCTTTATTGTTACATATTGTTACGACCCATTATTATCAGATATCCCCAGAAACAGTTATCAGACATGCCTCCACAACATTTCTAGTAAATGGATTTTCACCGAACGATGCTGGTGATGAGAATCGTTATGTTAATCCAGAAGGACGTTTCCTTAGATTACTAGCTGAGAGATTTTACAAAGAGATAGAAAATGGAAAACTATTTGTTTTCGAATCATGTCTTTTCTCTGATCGCGACTTTACCACATCCTTCATTCGACTATTGAAGTCAAAGCCATACTTGCAACTCAAAAGTACATATTTTCTCCCATGGCAATCAGAAAACGTTAATCTCGACTCCCACTCAGATCGATCAAGTATGTTTTTAAAATGCTTTTTGAACAATCCGGCTGATACAAATGCAGTATGCTATCTTGCTTATTACGGTCGTGTTAAAATTTTAGAATTTCTCCTTGATATTGCATTTCGACATGACGTATCAGTGAATTCAGGATCTTGCTTAGAAGTACAGGAAAAAGTTCTCTTATGTGCCTGTTACAGCGGAGAACGTGAGTTGATTGATTTAATTCTTAAAAACGATACAAAATTGCTACCACATATTTCCGAAAAGAAATATTCCCTCGGCAACAACTGTATTCCGATTGCATACGAAAATGACAATTGTAACAATATGAGAGCGTTTGAGACTGCTGTGATTTCTGAAAATGTAAACGTTCAATTCCTTGTCTCTGTTGCGATAAAGCTTGGTAGCCCTTCTGTGATTGAGGCATTTATAATGAATGGTATGGAATGTAATGCCTGTGATGAAGCAGGGAGGACACTTTTGCATGTTGCTTCAAAATCAGATACCCCCTGCATTATAGAGAAACTAGTTGAACACGGTGCTATATGTAACAAATGCGATAGTGCGGACAAATCACCTTTGCATGTTGCTTCTGAGGCAAGTCACCTGTCAGTAGTAGAGAAACTACTTGAGGTTGGTGCTGAGTGCAACAAGTGCGATAGTGACGGCAAGTCACCGTTATATGTTGCTACAAAATCAGGTCACCTGTCAGTAGTAGAGAAACTACTTGAGCATGGAGCTGACTGTAACAAATCCGATGATTTTGGCAGATCGCCGTTATATGTCGCTTCAGAATCAGGACAACTGTCAATAGTAGAGATTCTCATCGAATATGGTGCTGAGTGTAACAAATGTGATAGGTATGATAGAACACCGTTATATATTGCGTCTAAATTTGGCCATCTGTCGGTAGTGGAGAAACTAATTGAACATGGTGCTGCGCGTAATAAATGCGATACTACTAAGAAGACACCTTTACATATTGCTTGCAGATCTGGTAACTTGTCCATAGTAGAAAAACTACTTGAGCATGGTGCTGACTGTAACAAATGTGATTCATTTGGCAGATCACCGTTACATGTTGCTTCAGATTTAGGATACCTGTCAATAGTAGAGAAACTTATCCAACATGGTGCTGATTGTAATATATGCGATACATGTAAGACGTCACCCTTGCATATTGCTTCCAGATCTGGTCATCTATTAGTGATTGAAAAACTTATTGAATGTGGTGCTGATTGTAGTAAAGGTGATGCTTTTGGTAGATCACCATTATATATTGCCTCAGAAGTTGGTCAGCTGTCGGTTGTAGATAAATTAATCAGACATGGTGTTGAGTGTATCACAATCAATGATGAAGAGCATTCACCATTGCATGTTGCTTCAGAATTGGGTCATACGTCAATAGTAGAAAAACTACTTGAACAAGGAGCTGACTGTAGCAAATGTGATACCTATGGTCAGTCACCATTATATATAGCTTCAAAATCAGGACACCTCTCAGTGGTAGAAAAGCTAATTGAATGTGGGGCAAATTTGAACAAGTGCGATAGAGACGGCAAGTCACCGTTATACATTTGTTCAAAATTGGGTCACTTTTTAGTAGTAGAGAAACTAATTGAGAATTTTGCGGAATGTAATAAGTGCGATAGTGATGGCAAGTCACCGTTATACGTTGCTTCAAAATCGGGACATCTGTCAGTTGTAGAGAAACTTATTGAATATGGAGCTGATTGTAACAAGTGCGATAATGAGGGCAAGTCACCGTTATATGTTGCTTTAGAGTCAGGTCACCTGTTAGTTGTAGAGAAACTACTTGAACATGGCGCTGACTGTAACAATTGCGATAATTGTGGCAGGTCACCGTTATATGTTTCTTCAAAATCAGGCTATCTGCCAGTGGTGGAGAAACTAATTAAGCATGGTGCTGAATGTAACAAGAACGATATTTATGGTAAGTCACCGTTATACGTTGCTTCTGAGTCAGGACACCTGACAATAGTAGAGAAACTACTTGAACATGGCGCTGAGTGTAACGAGCGCAATAAACGTGGCATGTTACTGTTATATCTTTTGCTTTCAAAATCAGATGCTGAAAGTGACAACCGTTATATTTATGGCAAGTCACCGTTATACGTTGCTTCTGAGTCAGGTCACCTGTCAGTAGTAGAAACACTAATTGCGCATGGTGCTGAGTGTAACAAGTGCGATAGATATGGCAAGTCACCGTTATACGTTGCTTCTGAGTCAGGTCACCTGTCAGTAGTAGAAACACTAATTGCGCATGGTGCTGAGTGTAACAAGTGCGATAGAGATGGCAAGTCGCCGGTATATGTTGCTTCTGAGTTAGGCCACCTGTCAGTAGTAGAAAAACTTTTTGAGCATGGTGCTGAGTGTAACATGTGCGATCGAGATGGAAAGTCACCGTTATTTGTTGCTTCAAAGTCAGGCCACCTGTCAGTAGTAGAAAAACTTATTGAGCAGGGTGCAGAGTGTAACAAACTGGATAGAGCTTTCAAGTCACCAATTTATGTTGCTTCAAAATCGGGTCATGTGTCACTTGTAGGGAAACTTATTGAATATGGCGCTGATTCTAACAAATGCGATATTTATGGCAAGTCACCGTTATACGTTGCTTCTGAGTCAGGTCACCTGTCAATTGTAGAGAAACTACTTGAACATGGCGCTGAATGTAACAAATGCGATAGATATGGCAAGTCACCGTTATATGTTTCTTCAAAATCAGGTCATCTGACAGTGGTGGATAAACTAATTAAGAGCGGTGCTGAATGTGACAAGTGCGAAGGGAATGGCAAGTCACCGTTATACGCTGCTTCAAATTCAGGTCATCTGTCAGTTGTAGAAAAACTTATTGAGCAGGGTGTGGACTGCGGCATAAGCGACTGGAAAAACAGGTCACCATTATATGTAGCCGCAAAATCAGGTCATCTCTCAGTTGTAGAGAAACTTATTGAGCAGGGTGTGGAGTGTGACCAATGCGATTGGGAAAACAGGTCACCGCTATATGTTGCAGCTAAATCAAGACATCTATCAGTAGTAGAGATACTAACTGCAAATGGTGCTGATTGCAATAAATGCGATGAACGCGGTAATTCACCGTTAGATGTTGGTTTAGAATCAGGTCATCAAGTATTAGAGAAACTTTTTCAGAATACTGCTACATCTAAAAAAATATCTTTAACTGCATCTCTTAGAGCATTTTCCCAAGATTACCCTGATATTGAGTGTAATAGCAGCGACGATAGTGATATAGGCAGTGAGGCTGCAAACATTAAATATTCTGGTCATGAGGATTTGGACAGTGATGCATCAGATTTTGCAAATCGATTATCTCCAGCACATTCGAATTCTTCCATATCTTCAATTGCATCCATTTGTTAATTGCCTGACGTCACGGCGTCAGGCTGTATAAAGATTGATATTTGCTTAATCCGAAACTAATAGATCATACCTAGAGAGCTTGATTTTGTGCAAGCTGATTTACATTGGAATTCTTTACCTGCATTTTAAAAGGAACAGTTTTCAGAAAAAAAGAATGATACTACTGATAGAATATACTGTAGTGTTTACTTCATTTAATCTTTTTGCATGGAACGATTATTCTATGTGATTCAATGTTTCAACATGTCCGTGTATCTTTTTTTCTGCATTTCTATACTACTGGATCAGTCCATTTATGTTCTACTAAAGGGGTGAATCGCTCTTTTCGCGCCAAATGTCACTGCTTTCTTCGCGCCTTTTCCTTGGATTGTTCTATTGTATGAATGAGTGTTTTTTTTAAACTTCCATGGAATTAGAGTTTATCCTTTCAACCTCCTTCTGATGTTTCAGAAATTCTGTCTACAAATAATTGTTTTATCTCATTCTTTTAAACAGTATATCGTATAGTATATCAGTATACTGACATGCAACACTATAAAAGAAATGATTTTTAGAATTCTTTTCCCGATCCCGCGGTTGGGTTATTCTATAAATGGACTGGTCAAATAATAAACAACGCATTTCAACAAAGTCATGATCTCCAGATGATGAACAATTATATGTCTCTGTTCTGATGCACACGTAATAAATAAGAAACAAGTGCAAAATATTTTTATTTTCACACAGGTTTAGGTAGTGAATTTACTTATTTCATTCTCAATATATGATAGTGGAACTACCCTCCCCCTTTTAAGAAAAAAAAATTAACACACATAACTTCGGCTTCAGTGGAGAAAATACACTCCAACAAAATGTGTATTTAATTATATCCATCTTTTAGAATGGTAACATATTTTATAATAGGTGTAACAATATAAGTAGCTCGAAATCAATTAAATCCAAGGGCAGATCACTTCACTTGCATGCAGAAAACCCCACAGAATACCAACTCTTGAGTATATGCAGTGTAGAGATGATTCTTCTAACAGTTAAATAAAATCAAGATTTCTTTTACGCAAGTTTCTAAAAAACAAAAGTATTGCTCAAAAGGTTTATTACTCCTCATGCAGATAATGATTGATTTAGTCAGGCAAGCTTTTTAAAAAGCTGTTACTTGTATTGTGTCATTACTCTTTGTGTTCCAAACCGTTTAATAAGCGATAACCATCTTTATTCTTTTATTATTAATGAAAATGACTTCTGTTTATAGATATTACGTTCTCGATATACTTGTATCTAAATGTCTAGTTGAAGGCCTCAGGAAGTGTTTTCGTCTTCTCGTGTATGATTTTGTAATCATTCTGCTTCCTTACATGATGACCATTAAATTCCCTTTACATAATAAGAAAGGAATTTTATTTTTAAAGTGTCATGACGAAATAGGGTATAACTTGTTAATGACTATCTTCACCAAGTATTATCCTGTCAGCTTATCTCTTTATAAACCATACCCTACTATTCTCGCACAGAGTTCTAAGGATTTATATAGCGTAAGCATACTATGCCCAAATAGTGCACGGACCTACTTACTGAACAAAATCCTTTGATGCATACGCCGGGAATCAAACTTACGACCATAAGGTTGTCAGTTCGATTACGCCACAGATACAATCACTGATTGGTGGAATTTTATCAAATATATAAACTCAATTTATACAATTGACACAATAAGAAGAAAATAGGCAAATATTATTTGAAAACAGTCATAAAATGTATTATTCTTAGGAACCCTTGAGTAAATTTATACAACAAAGTTTCAAACTAATTACATACAGATTGTAAGATGAACTGTTGTCATGGAGTCATTAAAGCGCTTTTTATAACTCTTGATTAAAGGATATGAACGAAAATTATCAATGAGAAATGAAGTCTGCAAACAAATTAGTCATACTAACTAAACAGAAAATAAAGATGAGTCGCTTTGGGACAGAAAATCCTGACCTTAAATCCAAAAAACGAAGCATGTAACTAATTTTAGCATGGGGATTTTGAATGAGTTCTTGCAAGTGCGTCGTGTTAGCACTGATATTTTCATGAAAAACTCAAATTGCCACATAGATAATTATAACGGTCAGTCTAAGTATAACATATAGTGTTGCATTATGCATGTACTATGCCTAAATAGGCCTTTGTGTAGCTACACCAAAGAAACAATTTCCTCCGGCTCGCGCACCATGTGTCAAACCCTGCCTACTATTTAGGCATAGTACATGCATAATGCACCTCTTTTATATAAGTAGTGTAATGTAAATTTATTCAACAAGAAATATGATTGACATTTTCTATCAGAATTGCAATGAATAGTAAGTAAGTCGTAATTTAACCGTACTTGTTCAAATCTTATTGTCTTTCACACAACAGAACAAAATACCTCGCCCGATTTTTCATATCAAAGAGTTGGAACTTTTACGTTGTTTTCAACAATCTAACAATGCAGATGATTCTAAAAATTGAAAAAAACATATTGGTATGGAAGTATATTTTCTTTATTGAAATGCCTCCCAAAATTAAGAAACTTTCAGCACTTTGATATATATTGTAAGACTAAGCAAAATTTTGGCTATGAAAGCTTGGTAATTTTGATCAAGGAAAGACACTCACTAAATATAGAATATCTGCACAGAAACATAGGATTGAAAGAAGAAAGAAATTTGGGTTTGTATAGTACTACCAGAATTTGTATAAACTGTTCACCTTATGAGATTGAATATGAAATACATTTTAGTATTATTTGGCCCAGGAATTTTTCAAACAGGAAAATGCATTTTTTTTTAAATACAGAACATCTGTCACTTAATTAATGATTTAACACTATCAAAAAATATTACTATCTACTGAACAGTGACGACTATGATATTCTCTGCATACTTTGTCAGATGCTTAGCTCATTAGGTAAAGGTGTATCTTTTTATGATATTTATCACAATGCCATCTTCTTGGATTTTATACATAATAAAATGAATTGTATATGTATCTATTGCACTAAGCATGAGTAGAATTGATATGTCATGTAGCACTGTCTCTGTGAATTTATTCTTTGTGTATCGTTATCATTATGTATTATGCAGTTCTCTTTATATATACATTTTCATTATTATGATACTATACTTCAACATGTATATATAGCATTGACGTAATGCACCAAGTTAAATTGGACTAACTGATGTCCTTTTGAACCGCCTTTTGTTTCTGCAAATACAATCTATCATTGAGTCAAACGCTGACTGACGTTTTTCATACCAATTGTAAGTCCATTATTTTTACACTGCAATGACAACGGATTTTTTCCTGTTATTTCCTGATCATGACAACGAGCACACGGCGGGTGTGACCGGTTGGCAGGGGATGCTTACTCCTCCATGATACCTGGTCTCACCTCTGATGTTTCAGGGGTTTGTGTTGGCTCTGCTCTGTGTTTGCTTTTGTATATTGTTTAATGGACTTTGAGATTGAACACTGTTCGTTATCTCACTATCCTTCTTTCCTTGGGCATACATGTATATGTGTAATCCTTTATCTAATGATTTTCAAACTGTTAATTTTGTATCAATTATCCATATACATTAAGATGTGCTTATATAAGTGTTTCTGAACAAAATTGATCATATATTTTTTTCAACTTTTGTATCTAGTCATCATAATATTGTAATATAACAAGCTAAACAATGAGTTGTTTTGAAAAGTTGCCTTGTAGCCATAATACCATTATAATACTATGCAAACTGTGCAACGAGCTAATAAGTAAGGTACTAATGTGATTTCTGTGTATTTTTATGTTATCATAATCGTTACATGTGATGATCCATGAGGCCATAATTTGGGAATAAATTCTGTTGTATCCTATTCTAATCTATTCTAATAGGTGTATTTTCATATTATTCATTACTGTATATACAGGGATATTTTCGCCACTGTTTTATTTTCGCCTAACATCAGTTTGGGCTAATTTGAGACGGGGCAAATTCAATTAATACAGTATAATTCCTTAAACAAAACTATGATTGGGCGAATTTAAAACGGGGCAAACTTGTTTTTAAGGTAGGTCGCGGGTTTGCTTTTGTCATCAATTCTGACGATTCGAGCGGTTGTTTTGTGCACATTTGATTATGACGTCAGTTACGTCACAAAGGCAACGTCACGTTTTTTCCCGTTTAATTCTCTGCAAATGATTTCAAGTCTGTACGAATTTAAAAGTAGATTTAACACGAAGTGCATGCTTTTGTACGTAAACCTCGTACATGTTTTATAATTAAATTTCAGTCTGAATTCTGGTGTGATTATGTAATGTCTTAGGACTAATTAAAATACCAAATGAAAGCTATTAATTATATTTGAAGTGTAACTAAACTGATAAAAGTCAAGCAGAATAAATCAGCGTAAAAAGTTATGGCTTGCAGAAAGAAAGTTATCATGAATAAAAATTGTTTAGCGAGTGACTTGAGGGAGAGTATACTAACGCAAGTTATTTGAAACTCAGGGGAACTTGACTTCAAATCAAAGCCAGGGCGAAAATATGCCTATACTTTTCAGGATGGAAATTAATCCTCATCACTAAAAACGAGTTATAGGCCTATTTAATTACAAGTATTTTCCAGTTTTGTCTTGTTTTTTTAAATTATCATTATTAATATTGGTTGGTTGTTATGTATTTTAATCTCGTGCATTTGCCTTGCTCTGCTTTCTAATAAATTGTGAAATGCAGTTAAAATTGAAATTTATTCAAACACCTGGATTTTAAGACTTACTAAAAATTATAAACAATTTACAAGTATATTTTTTTCTACATATATTTTTATGGCAAAAGCTCAAAGTGTAAAAGCTAATTGCAAGTGTTTTACATTTTGCGCATTTTAATTTAGTTCAGAAATTTCGAAATTAAAAAATGCTTGGGATTAAGAGCCATATACTATAGCTTGCGACTAATATAGAAAGAACATTGCAGGTACCCCCCCCCCTCTACC